TGGCGAACTTCCAAGATGGCTGGCTTCTTCCTCTCCAAGATGGCTGACCTGGCAGCATAAAACAAAGTCCCGTCTGGCTTTTTTTTTCTCTACCAGTCTGGCCCTCTGGTGATGGACTGCTGAACCATTTAAGTCTGGATCAGGCCATGTTTCTGCCAAAGCTGTGGGCCTGTCAGTCACCCTGCCTTTGTTCAAACTGACCAACCCTAAACCAATGAAAAAAGACAGCTCAAAGAGCCTTAAAAACTCCAGTCTCAAGATGGATCTCCCTGTTTCGTAGAGGGTCTTTCTCTCTGTGAGCTTTGCTGTGTTCCCTTCACCTCACAAAGCCTTCTTCACCCACTGATGCTGTCTGCTGCAGCTGAGGTTTCTCCCACTGCTACTTGCTACACTTGAAGGTTTTGTTTTGTTTGTTTGTTTTGTTTTTCACCTTTTAATTCTTTAATTGGCAGAGAAAATGAGCCTGATCAAGACCCTAGACTGTAACACATCCCAGTAGAAAAGCTCAATCAGGACTCCAGCTGCCTGCCCCAGCCTCCCCGGTCAGTTTCTGCTGGGTGTTTGTACACCCTCAATGTGATGCTGTCACTTGTGTTTCTGCTGGGTGTTTGTTTCTGCTGGACATTGTGCACATCTGATTCAGTGTTTTGCTTTGTTAGCTTCTCTGCGACCCACTATTTATCCTTCTCCTTTTGCTTGCTGTACTTTATAAACGCACTCATTCAAAACTAAAAGCACTGCTGTGACAGCTAGTCTCCAGACAGTATGGAGCAAACACTAACTCCACTCCATCCTCATTCAGAAACTCTGTTTTCTTTTTTCTTGTTTATAGGATCTTTATCTAGATGGAGGTCCCTAAGGCTGGAATTTCTCAGGTCACTTGTGCTGACTCTCCCCCACTGTCCTCACATATACCACTAGGAGAGCAGCCTATCCTTTTCTTCCCCTTGCTCTATCTAGCAACTCTTACCAGAACAACAAGCTAAAACTGTTCAGGCTGGAGTGTACCTCAGTGGAGAAGCACTTGTCTAGTAACCATGCGATCCCGGGCTCAATCCCCAGTCCCGCCCCCTTCTTACTCTGCAGTTATCTTTGGAAAAGTCATGTGACTTCTGTGTGCCTCCACTATACTACCAAGGTAGAAAAGGTCCACTCCAGCTGCCTTTTGAGAGGTCGTACGGAGAGAATGAAACAGAAGACTTTAAACCAGCAGGAAATGCAGAGTAGCCCTTTAAGGGCTTGCTTCTTCCCTTTCCAGTCTCTTAGAGCTTCCCTGGCGTTCTTTCTTGCTCAGTGTAGGTGGGATGACCAGGCTGTAGGGCAGGACACACACCTCTGCAGGATAGCTGTGTGCTTGACCCTGCTGAGTTTGGTGCATAGTTAAGACGTGTAATAAGGAGTAGCTTTTACTGCTTTTCTTATTTTGATGCCCTCTTGTGGCACAGAAGCAGCCGGTGTGTGTTGTAGGCTCTGGTGGGATCATATTTATCCTACAGCTGTGTTTTCAAGTGCCTGCTGCTTGCGTCGTTAGAGCCAAAAATCTATTCCTGTGCTAAAGTCAGAATCCAGTAGGCTGACTTTCTCCAGAGGCGAGCCAAATACGTAGGGAAGGAGGCAGAGATCCCAGAAGAATTGTGTGTCTCCTTTTGAATATTCATTACTGGAATAAAATCTAGTGTTCCATAAAAAGAGAATCTTAAAGCTTAGACTATGCAACCTCAGGCCTATATATTAGCTCTCTGACCTGCTGTTAGTCAAGTGTTGTCTTCTGGGAATAATAAGACCTTGATTTTCTATCTCACATAATTATTGTGGGATTCAAATAGCATGATTTGTGCTGAAGCACTCCCACCTTCATAAATATCAGCCAGTGGCTGGATTGGTTTGCTTTCATCAATGGCAAACATGGATAAACCACCCTTAGCACAGTGCCCCAAGGTGTCAGAAGTGCACAGCCACAGATAGGAAGGGACGGACTCAGGAACATGATGCCAGTTATTTTCTCACTGACAGGTGGCTCCTGTGCTCGTGTGGGACTTGTGTATAATTAAGGGCATTTACTAAGACTGTACCTAAAAGCTTGTAGAACTCAGTCATTGAAAGACAAGATTTTGAAGGGGCGGAGAGATGAATTAGAGGGTAAAAGTACTTGCCAACAAGCCCGATGACCTGAGTTGGATCTTTGGAATCAACATAGTGGAAGTAAAAAACCAACTTTTCTAAAGTTTTCTCTGACCCCCAACACATGGCATGCGCATTCTCTTCCCCCAAATAAGTAAATTTAATTTATGGACAAGCTGGGGAGATGGCTCAGTGGGTAAGAATGTGTGTTCTGCAAGCATGAGAACCTGAGTTTGGATCCCCAACATCCAGATTAAAAAAAAAAAAAAAGCAAAACAAAACAAAAAGACCAGGGAAGGCTATGTATATGATAGCCCCAGCATTAGCGAATGGAGACAGGTGTAATTCACTGACTAGGCAGCCTAGGCAAAATGGAGCGTCCATGGCTCAGTGAGAGACCCTGTTTCAGAGCAATTAGATAGGGAATGAGAGTGTGGCATCTGAGGACTTGGTCTGGCCTCTGCATGGTTGCATGCACACATACAGCCTTGTACAACTATACACTCAGGTATGTATGTCTCACAAAAATCTGGGCAGATGTTTCATAAAAGAAGTATTAATATTATGTAAGCACATGAAAATACTCACTTGTTAGTCAATAGAGAAATACAGAATGAGATTACAGGAGACCACTTACTGCTTGGTAGATCGACTCAAAATAGTTCTAAGTGGGTCAGAATGCAGAGCAGCGAGAACCTCAAATGGTGCTAGTGAGAACCTAAAATTGTGTAGCTAATGTGGTGTCCCGCGCTACCGTCTCGCCCGCAAGAACGACGCGGGACACTTAGGATTCTTCTGCAGTAAAGCTTTATGCGTCTTGAGAGGGAGAGCATAAGCTTACATGGCGGAGACCCCGAATGAGGGGAACCCAGCCCTTATAAAGGAAACAGTCCTCGCTTCTGACGTGTCACTCTTGGATTGGTCCGCTGCCCATTATCCCAGATGATGCCTCGGGAGTAGGCAGGGATGCAGCGGTAGAGAGTTAACAAGCACATGCGCTGGGATTAAAGGCGTGTGCTACATCACCTTGAACTCACAGAGATCTGCCTGTCTCTGCTTCCCAGGCATAGGGGCCAAAGGCGTGTACTACCACGCCTTGAGGTCACAGAGGTCAATCTGCCTCTGCCGCCCAGGCATCAGGACTAAAGGCGTGTACCGCCACACCTTGGGGTCAGAGGTCAATCTCTACCTTTGTTCCTAGAAGCAATGGAGAAAGTGGTCCGGCCCTCCACAATGTGGAACATAGTTTGGCAGTTTCTTATAAAATAAAGATAAGCTCATTAAAAGAACCATCAATCTCACGTTCCAGGTTTTATATAAGATAAATGAAAATGTGGCCACAAGTGTTGCTCAGAGATTCAACTTTATTTTTAAGAATAAATTATGTGGGAACAATGCCAAAGGAAGTCTGTTGAGTAGTGACTCTGCAGACCGTGTACAGACTCAGAGCAGGATGCTGTCATGGCTGATTGTACAAGTGAGTGCATGACAGTGTTCGCAGGACCCGGATGACAGTGGTATGACAAAGCAAGGAGGAAGACTCAGAAGAACTTATTCTACGTAATTGCTCTACCTGAAGTTGTTGGACAGCAAGGCTGTCCTAGTAGTATTGAACTCCAGCCAGAAGATGGCATTGGGTTGCTGGGGTCTAGAGTTACAGATGGTTATGGGCTGCCTTGGAGATGCTGGGAATCAGAACCGGCATGAGATTATTGGGGGAGATTTCCATTTCTTTGGACCCTTTGTTTCAATCATCTGATAGTCAGGTTGAGAGTGTCGTCATTTCTGCCAGGCCTGTTCTGCTAGAGAAACACTTCAGAGGTCTCCAGCCCTGTTCTACTGGAGAAAAACTTCAGGGGTCTCTAGCCCTGTTCTACTGGAGAAGTACTTCCGGGGTCTTCAGGGCTAGAATAAGGGAGGTATTCGACTATGACGAGCAGGGGCGTTTGGGTTGGGTGTAGTGTTGTCCTTATCTTGACTGTAATAATGATTATGCACTTTATATTTGTTGATTATTATTTTTATTATTACTTCAAGTTGGTGTTTTTATTTTTATAAGATATACCTCCAAAAGAAAAATCATGAATCAGCTGAATTACAGCTGAGCTAGGAATATGATTAGGTGAAAAGTGGGCCTTCCGATGGCAACTCATCCCTGAGGACACGGTGCAGAAAGACAGCTGAGGGATAGGACCACGGAGGGGAGGAAGTCCTGAGGCACTACTGAACTGCCTCATCAGCGCTGCCACATGAAGGAGCCTTGAGTTTAGCCTGCTCACTGAACAAGACTCGGTGTGGACGGAGAGGGCATTCCAGGCCCAGACTCACCAAGATGAAACTCCATCTTGTGTTTTGTGAACAGGAAGGGCCTCGTTTTGTGGGAACCAGAAACTGGGGTTTAGTTGGATTCAGGAAGCGTTGAAGCTGAACGGGTTGGCGGAGAGATAAAAGGTGAAATGTTTTTCACCTTGACTTATCCCTCCTCTGGTGGAAGATGATCCTGTCTTCTTTTTTGGGTTCTTTACATTTTGTCTTAAAACAAACAAGCACCAAACCCAACAGTGTTCTTAACCTTTGATTCACCTCTCCAGTCTACCTGGAGAGTTCCGCTTCATATTCCTTGCCATTTTTTAAGAAATAACTGACCAAGTTCCATTTGTCTTACCCATGTACTCATGGGTGTGGGACCATCTACTGAGGACCATTCCCTTTAGAAATAAACGGCCTTTCCTTCCCCTAATATTTGAACCTCCTGGGTACCACTCTGAGTATTTGGAGTGATGTAGCAGGGAGGTGACAGGTGAACAGAAGGACTCCAGCGATGACAGAGCTGTTGGGAAGGCCTCTTCTATAATCCAGTGCTTCATTGTGTGTTGCAGGCGATGGAGTTTGAGGGCTGGACAGACACCTTGTTCCTTCTGCAGTTCACCCTCTCCTGTGTCATGGGGTAAGCCTTTATACATTCCTAGCGGATCATTTCCTCGAGAAGCAGGCTTCAGGAAGTTGTTTAAGTTCTTTTCCCTTGTTTCTGAGTGTCTTGTTCAGTTTCCTGAGTGTGTCACTTTCTAGGTCTGGGAATATGCTGAACTGATCCCAAGTCACACATAGATGGATGGAGAAATGAAATGTATATTTTTCCACCATCCCACTGTCTGATAACAACTATTATATTTCCACCTGCATAGTTTCATTTTCCTCAACATTGATGTCTCATGGAAATCATTGTCCCTCACCTATAGTAAGAAGACTCAGAGTTTAAGTTTGCATGGTTAGTAGTTGACAGTGGTGGCATTTAGATTTAGGACTACCCGACTTCTGTGTGGAAGGGAAGAGGGTCTCTGCATCTTCCAGGTGTGTTCTCCTTAGCTGGCCGATTTGGTTGTACCTCCTGCCTGGACATCCACACAGTGACAGTGTTCCGAAGCCTCAGTGATCTGGGCGCTACAAATTCTGTCGGGTATTTGTCCACCAGACCTGCCACTCCTCTTAAATTCTTCCACTGTTGAGAAACTATCTTGCCTTCATCCTTGTCCTAGGGTCATTTTATCCTAGTGGCAAGTACCCAGCTGGCAAAGGCCTCTGAGCGTGAGCATCCTGTGTGGCTTGTATGAGTTAGCAGGAAAGATATTCTCTAAGGAATCCTGGTCACTGTAAACGAGATGGGCATGGTATTGGTAGCAGGAAGAACACCATGTCAGAAAATAGACTCGTGTTTATCATGAGTGCAGTTTCAAAGATCTGAAGCTGCGGTGAATGAGGCACAGAGAGGTCTCTATTGCTCAGAGCCCGCATGGCTGGCGCTGGGAGGCTCTCCTGGTGAAGGATTATGGGACAGTAAACTCTAGCCTGGGAGGGATTCTAGCCTGGGAGGGATTCTAGCCTGGGAAGGATTGTGGGACAGCAAACTCCAGTCTGGGAAGGATTGTGGGAAAACAAACTTTGGCCTGGGAAGGATTGTAGGACAGCATGCTATAGCCTGGGAAGGATTATGGGACAGCAAACTCTGGCCTGTGAAGGATTGTGGGAAAGCAAGCTCTCGCCTGTGAGAGATTGTGGGAAAGCAAGCTCTCGCCTGTGAGGGATTGTGGGAAAGCAAGCTCTAGCCTGTAACAGACCCTTTCTTCTCCGCCCTAGGTTTATCTTGATGTATTCTATAGTGCTCTGCACGCAGTATAATTCTGCTCTTACCACAACAATAGTTGGCTGCATTAAGGTGAGATGAAATAACAATACTGTTTCTTTTTGGAATCTGCTTTATTTAAAAATGTTCCTCTAACTTAAAACTCTGGGGGCAGTGGAATGGCTTAGTTGATAAAGATGTTTGCCACTGAACAGCCTGGGTACAATCTCCAAAACCCACGTGGTGGAAGGTGAAAACTGAGTCTTGTGTTGTCCTCTATCTACATTCTGTGAGATGAATGCTTCCCAAAGTAAAGAAGCAAAAACTGTTTTGAATTGTTTTAAATTATAATTTGGCTATGTGGCCAACAAGATGGCTCAGTAGGTAAAAGTGCTTGCTGTGTGAGCCTGATGACCTGAGATGGCTTCTTAGAATTCATGTCAAAGTGGAAGGAGAGAACTGACTCCACGAAACTGGCCTCTAACTGCATGCGTCCGAGCCCTATCATGTATACAATAATAATAAAGTAAAGTTAGAGAGACTCTAGCAGTAACCTTAAGTCTCATAGCTTTATGATTCCTGTGTGCCAACTTACTAGCTTGGCACTTTGTGGTGGTAATTTCTAAACTAGTTCATAAGAACTTAAGAACGGCATAGCCTTTACTTGGAGATGGCTTAGCTCTGGGGAGTGTAGGAAAGGGAAACACATTAGTTATTGCAGAAGAAGAAAGAGCAGTAGACAGCTTCCTGCCAGAGTGGGAGCCCTAGCCCTTCTGCACCAGTGAAAGCTGTGCTTCTAGCCTCGCTTTGGGAGGTGAAGCCTGCCAGAAGCGAATCCAGGGGCGTTTCCTTTGTCTGAGCCAGCCCTCAAATGGCCTGCTTTTAAAAGTTGTGCCTGGCGTTTCCAGTGTTGCCTTTCCTCCCGTTCCCTTTTATTAGAGAAGTATCATTCGTCTTCAAGCCGAAAGCCAAACTAACTTTAGTATTGAGCTAATGCTCGTCGAAACCTGGGACCTCTTTTATCAGACTTAGTGATTCTAGTTCTTCAGTTTTAGGAACACTCCAGATGCCTGGATTCCTCCGCCATCAGAATGTGGGCTTGCTTTCTGGAAGAGTATACCAAGGGAAGGGATCTTTGATCATTTTGGAAAAGGAAGGCAGTTGCCACTCCGATGCCCTTGTCAGTCAGCAGTGAGGGAAGGGAATGCAGAAGGGGAGGGCTTAGCTATCTTTAGATTTCTCTCTGCGCCCTCAATGGAATGGGCATTGACCTTTAGAGAAACTGCAGTGGTTAAAACTCCCGAACATCTCGAGCTCCCCATCTTGGAATCAGAGTTTGACTTGATTGGTTCTGAATGCCCTCCCAAAGAACATTTCCTTATAAAGACAATTTTAAAGTTGGGTTTAATGTATTTTGTACCCACCCCCATGCTGGGGATCAAACTGGCTCTCCCACCGAGCTTCACCTTCCACTCCTAGCCTTGAACACACAGCCTCCATTTTGTCTCACAGGCTTATCTAAGAGAGTCCAGGCACTAAGAATGTGACATCTATAGCTCGTGGCACTTTATTCACTAAGAAGGGGAGGAGGTGGGGAAATAGGGATTGACTTACTCCATGAAAGGAAGGAGAGATTAGGGAGCATCAAATAATTAATTAAGGACCCAAAGCATATTTGTACTTGGAAGTCAGAGAAGGGAATTAAAAATAATTCTTTGCCTTTTATTTTTAAGTATTTTGAAATTAAAGTATATCATTTTCACATTTTCCTTTCTTCTCTAGACTCCTTCCATCTACCTTGCATCCTATCAAACTAATAGAATAATGGCTCTATTATTCTATTATTAATATATTAATATTAATATATTATATATATATATATAAATACAATCTTATCAGTCTACTTAATATTATATATATGTCCCAGGACTGACTACTTGATATTAGTTAACAAATTGGTGGATTCATCCCTGGGGAATATTATTGCCTTTAGTTCTTTGTCTGGGGCGCAGGGGTGGTGAGATTTTCCTTCTATCAAGTGGACTTTAAATTCAATTAGCAGCTGCCTGACCTTACTTCATGTGTATTTGTGTGTGTGTTTAAGGTATTAAGGAAAAGTCCTCCAAAGACATTCTATGTTGGTCAAGTCTCCATCTTCCTTTTTATTTTTAAAAGAAGGAAAATCCTTGCAGTTAAGCAACCTTCTTTACTCTCTCCTCACAAGTCAATAGTTAGCCTAATGGGAGAAAACAATCGTGTTGGTCACACCAGGAGGCAGAGCAAGTTTGATGATGTGTAGTGTTCTCCATGTTGTGAGTGTTGATCCTTTGGAGAAACAGCTGAGGAGAGGCTCGTGTTAGAGACCCCTCACTCCTGCTCCTGCTGCACACAGAGGTAGACCTGTGGTGGTGCTGTGTGTTATACATTTTGTGCTTGAATCACATGTAGATTTCAAAAGCTCAGTTAGACTTACACAATATATTACTATTTTCTTTTAGAATATATTAATAACTTATATTGGAATGGTCTTTGGTGGAGATTATATTTTCACGTGGACAAATTTTATTGGCCTAAATATCAGGTAAGTAAAAATACTGAACTAATGTAAGTACAGTGACAATTGGGGTTTAGGTCCTCAGATGGTGTCACAGTATAGAATTGGGCTATTTATTCAATTATAAATATGTCTGCTTATAAAATAAATTTATAGAATGCCTGCAATGTGGTAAATATATTTTAATTTCTCTAGCTAACATTTTAAAGAAACAGAAGGAAATGGTTCCATATTCAATGTGTAAGATTTAGAGTTGAACTTCTTCCCTGCATCCAAAAGTTGTTATTTGCTTATTGAACTTTATCAGGTAATGTTCTCAAGAAATTCATGGCTAAAACCCACCAGTTCTATTACAGTTGTGAGTATTTGATCATAGGTATGTCATTACTTTAAAAAAAATATATTAATTTTGAGGGCCTGGAGAGGTGGCTCAGCAGTGAAGAGCACTGGTTACACCTCTGTAGGACCCAGGTTCAATTTCCAGCACCCACATGACAGCTCACACCATCTATAACTCTACTTCCTGGAGATCTGATGTCCTCTTCTGGACTCCACAGGCACCAGACAAGCACATGGTGTATGGACACAGGCAAAACAATCACACCCATAAGTAATAGAAGGTGTTTTAAAATATATTTTGTTATTTGACAATTTCATACACATATTCTGATTTCTCTGTCCTCATTCCCTCTCTTATGAACTCCATTTCTTATCAACTGCCCCTCGTCACTGCTGTTCCCTTTCCCTGATCTTTTGTTGTTGTTGTTTTGTGACCTAATTTAACCAGTGCCATTTCTGTGGCCATTGGATTGGAGCTGTCCGTAGGAGCCTGGTTGTCTGTCAACAGGCACACAAATGAAGGCAGTGCTTACCCGCTCCCATTAGCAAACAGTTCAGCAGTGAAGGGTGGGGCCCCCTGAACTTCATCCTCGTCTGACTATTGATGGCCCCATTCTTGTCCAGACCCAGTGCAGCATTCATAGCTGTGCGTGAGTTCATGATTGCAGTGGCTGTGCCTTGTCCGGGAGAGATTACATTTCCCAGCCTCTTTACCTTCCTGCTTTCATTCTTTCCTCCCTTTCTTCTGCAGTGTTCCCTGAGCCTCTGAGGGAGTCATATAAATATCTTACTTAGAGTTTGGCCTCGTCAGTCAGCTGTTCTCATCATGTTTTACAGACACGAGTCTCTACTTCACTATTGTTCACTGGTCTCTGATCGAGGCATAATGTTTATAAGTATAAAGGTAAAGATTTAGAAGGCAGCTTGAAGCTACGTTCATTTGTTAAACAACAGTCTTCAGAACCCCCATCCCCCATGACTTTCCTTGCCATGAGTTTTTGACCAGGTTTACAATACCAGCATGGATTCCCTCCTGTGGAGTGAGTCTCAGATCCAACCAGAGAGGGCAGTTCTAGCGGTAGGGCCACTACCCGTTCTAACTGTAGGGCCACTACCCGTTCTAGCAGTAGTGCCACGATTGCACAAGTGGACGCATCTCTCTGGGCAGGTTGGTCTAGGAGACTGTACGTGTCACAGCTGGGTAAGATCACTGGTGCCTTTTCTCCCCCAACAGCCTTATACACAGTCCCTTCTAGGACTATGGAAGCTGCCTACCAGAGAGGACTCTGTCTGCTCAGTTTCTGCTAGATTTATGTGTATTCTGCATCCAGGGTATCTAGTATCTTCAGCAATAGATCTTATTGTTTAGTTCTGGTGGACAACTAAGAGAGATGGCAAGGGCTTGTATTATTTTTGGGTCCTCTGGGTCTTCCACGTCCAGCTGGTTTAAAGAGACATCCCATACCTGACACTAGAGTTTTTGTTTAATAACTCTTGGCTTCTGGGAACAGCTTTTTCCAGTCATACAGAAGATCTCTCTTCAAAGTCTGTCTTGTAATAAGTACATTTTTAGATTTGGCTACAAGATAGTAAGTTTCCATATAGTTTTTTCATACACCCTTCATCTTGGTTCTTCACATGCCTTCCTTGTGCAAGCTTTTCCAGAACCACTGTTCCCACCCTCTGCTCTTACATTACCCCTTCCCTCACTCAAGGCTCCTCTCTCCAAGTGACCTCTTTCCACAGACACTCCAAGGTGAACACAAAATTAGAGATTCGAAGTTAAAATCCACATGTGAAGAAGAATATGCAGCATTTGGTTTTCTGTGCCTGCTTGCAACACTTAATGTATTTTTTTTCATTTTCATCTATTTAACTGCACATTTCGTGACATCATTCTTCTTTACAACTGAACAAAACTCCACTATGTGTCTGTATCACATTTTCATCATTCAGTCGTCAGCTGGTAGACATCTGACCCGATTCCAGAACTTAGCCATTGTGAGTGAGCAG